CCAGCTACTCGAGAGGCTGAGGCAGGAGGATTGCTTGAGCCCAGGAGTTTGAGGTTGCTGTGAGCTAGGCTGGCACCACGGCACTCACTCTAGCCTGGGCAACAAAGTGAGACTCTATCTCAAAAAAAAAAAAAGAGAGCGAGAGAATGGAGGAGAGACAAAGTCTGAAAGACCACAGACTTTCTAAACTTAGCACCTGGAGGGGGGAGGGCTACCAGCACTGTTAAGCCCCAGCTTAGCCTGCTGTTGACACCGGACACACCCTGCAAGACAAATTCAGAGCGAAGTGTTGAGGAGGCACACTCACAGGATGTGAGGGGGGCCATTACACGTAGCCCTGTGCACGTGTGTCACTGAGGAAGAAGCCTGGTGTCAGCAAGGGGACTGAGGCGCAGAGTTGGATTCCTCCCCTGTCATTCACACACGTGTGGCCCCCTATTGAAGAAGGGTCTATGTACAGTGATTTGCACAATGGCTTACTGACAGAAAATTGGCCCCAGGATCCAGCCATTTTCATACCTCAAGTCCCCACCACACTTGCTCTGTGAGGCTGCTAGACACACTCTCCAGTGTCTCTGTTCAGGGTCAGGTCTGTCTGGTCAGCCCACTGCCGTGTTGTGAGTAAAGGCGCACGCAGGCATGTGTATGCTCTCGGACTGTCACACGAACCGTCTAGCTGTTTTTGCTTCCAACAGCAGAGTGGGCTGGTCCTGACAGACATAAATGGTCTGCGAGGCCCAAGAGGTTGACTCTCTGGCCTTTTACAGAGCAAGTTTGGTGACTACTGGCCTAGAAGATGGAGCTTAGCAACTTCTGTTGCTTTTCCTGCTTCACAGTTCCTTTCACAGGCCATTTTCCTAAAGCCAGGCAGTGGCTCACGGTTGTTTCCCTGCAGACTCCCTCACCGCAGTCCTGGCACAGTACTTGCGTAGCCCCTGCTAGGTGCGGAGTTAGACACCAAGGCTGAGCAGAACAAACAAGACCTAAATGTGGCTTCCAAAGAGCCCAGGTCATAGGGGAGAAAAACACACAAACAGAACAATTGTTTACATTTTTAGTATAAAAGAGCATGGGGTTGACATAATAATCGGTTTTTCATCATTCATTTAATCAGTATTGAGCATTTCCCAGTGCCAGGTAGGGGAAAACAGACTTTGTGCTCCAGTAGCTTGGTAGCAGGAAGCAGGTGAACAGCAGGAGTGTGGGTAATACATGGATGCCATGCCAGAGGCAGGCACAGCACAGCTGGCCCCAGAGAGTAAGACAGAGCGTCAAAGCATTATGGCTCCAGCTGACTCCTGACAGCCAGGGGCTCTTTGCTGTTGGGGGAGGGAGCAGCCTTGCAGAACCAGGAAGGCAGGTGTGATGTGAATGTGGGATAGGGACCTGGGTAGGAGGGAGAGGCCTGGCCGGAGATGTAGCCGTCACCTTAGTAAGGAGCCTGACTCTCCCTCCAGATGCTGGTCCTGAAGCTTAGGTGACCCTGGGGACAGTAAGGATGTAGGAGGACCTCAGAGAGCAGGGACCCATGGGACAACTGGCCAGGCCACTAGAAAGAAGGGCGGGCGGCACAGTGGGCATGGGACAGAGGCGAGGGTGCTCCTGGGGCCACAGGGTGCGGTTGCCAGCTGAATGCCCCCTACAGTCACATTGCATTTGGGGACGAGATCCCTATCGTGGTCCACCCCAGCTCTGAGAGTCCAGGCTTGGCGAGGACGATCACTTCTGTGCTTTTCATTGCTCCAGGTGCACGTAAGGCACACAGATGTACATGCATATAGTGTGATTTTTTTCCCCCAACATTCTTTTAAGGACAATTTTCAACTATTCTGAAAAGCTAAAAGATTTTAAAGTAGACGTCCATATTCCCACCACCTAGATTCTGTGATTAACGTTTTAGTATACTTGTTTTTTCATGTATCTGTCTGTCCCTCCATCTACCTGTCAATCCATCTTATTTTTTTCATGAACTTCAAAGGAAGTTGCCAACCTGTAGACTGACTTACAGTTTAGTCATGTAGAATATAAAAATGAATCCCAGAGGGGCTGGGAGTGTTGATTAAACTTGGGGCAGGTTCATTTATAAATATTTCATTTGAGCAATCGTGATGGCTTTCTCTGAAGTCAGCACGCATCCCATGTTCATGACTGAGGAAGCCCAAGACTGGAGTCTGCGAGCGTCTTGCTCGTCTGTATACTTCAGTAGCAAAACTACGCAGAGGCCAGGTAGCCTAGACCCCAGTGCTGTTTTCCTGTGCTCTCTGCACACTACCTCTGACTAGCCTTGCTGCCCGGGACCGGTCTCAGGACTCGTTCACAGCACTAAGGAGCGTTGTCCTGAGTGCCCAGCCTATACACCCGAGATTAGAAGCTACAAATTGGGGAGCAGGTGTGGGGATTGGGGGTGAAAGTGCCGTAAGACACAGAGATGTTAGAGAAAGGTGATGGTTGACCGCTCAGCTGCAGTGGGGAAGAGCTGGACCCAGGACCACGGCGCATAGCCGGGGGCCCTGTAGTAGAGGAGGCCTGCAGGTGACCCCTGCTTGCTGGGTCCCCAGTGATAGTGACATCCATAGTGATGGCCCTGAGAGGGCTTAAAGAGTCAAAGTTTTTCATATATTTTGCTTCATGGGGTCAGTTTTAAAAATGGCGAGTTACAGAGGTGCACGGGTTAACACGACAAGCCTCATCCTCACCCTTAGGCCCCTGCCCCATGAGGCTGTCAAGGTGGGAGCAGGTACTTCACTTTCTCCTTCATCTGGTTTAAGAGTTTTCTTGGTTGGATTAATCACTAAGAACATAAGCCTCATTTCCCTTTGGTTTCTTGAAGATAAAAGCATTTCAGGGCAGCTTCACCTTCCTGTCAGCTGGCAGGCTCGGCTGTGGTTCTCCTCTGGATGGTGGAGGCCACTTCCCCTCTCCGCCCGTCTCCGCGTCCACAGTTGGGCCGTTAGGCCTGTGCCTCCCACCCTGACTCCTGAGTGCAAATGAAAGCCTGAAAGTGCTCTGTGAAACATCAGATGACGTGCTGCTAAATTTCCATGCTACAAGCATCGCACGTCAGCCAGGGTCTTGAAAGAGAAGGGTCTGTTTTGCTTGCATTTTGAGACGTTCAGTTGTCCCACTGACCATCTGCACCAGGCTTCCTCGTCAGAACCACAGAACACAGAACATGATTTGAGCACAGCGTTTCCACTTCCCCAAGGATGGCGCAGCTAGGAGTGAAGGTGCAGATGCCACAGGCCAGCGGTTCTCCAGCTGTGGTCGGCCCATGCCCACACCCAGTAGTATGTGCTTTAACAGGCCCTCCAGCGGCTTCCAGTGCTCGTGTGGGAGAACCACCAACCTGTAAATGATTGGAGTAGATTTGGTTTGGAATATAATTTCTCCAAGTAAAAATAGAGACGTTAGGAAAACAAAGGGAAAATGTGCCGCTCGCGCTTTGCTAGTGTGACACTCCTAGTGGGCCCTGGCCAGGCCTAGAAGATGAGCGCGGTGCTGCCTTTCAGGGCATTGTCTTGGAGTCCTGCGGGGAAGGTAGCTGTCAGGTCCCCTCTGACCTGGGCAGTCAGCAGCACCCCCTGCCTGCGGGAGCCAGAATCCCAGCTCTCCACCCTCATGCTTCTGGCTTTGTTTTTTGTCAGAGAATTTGAGCATCGTTAACAACACGCTGTCCACTGCCTATGCCATGGACTTTGTCCTACCTGGTCATGCAGAGAGAGTCTTGCTGAGAATAGGAGGAGGCAGGAGACTCTTTTGCATAGAGATGTATTATTTTACAAAGATCCTTAAACTCTGGTTTTGACCATCGGAGTAGCAGAGGTCATGTGGGTAACAAAGGACATCTTGGGAACACTGCAATCAGCGTGTGCTCCCCAATTTGTGTCTCCCCTGGGTGTTAGGGAAACAGCCTCCGCTGTCTGAGAAGAGGTGCCCGTGGTGTGAGGGCAGAGCCAGGCCCCTTCAAAGGGCTCTGTGGTGCCCCAGCCCCAGTGTGTCCAAGTGAAATAGCCTTTTTTCAAGAGGTTTTTTCCCCCTCTCTTTTTTCATTTTTCTGTTTTCATAATGCTGCTGCTGATGACAATGTTTTAATGTGGTTCATTCTTGTCACTTTTCCGTTTTTGTGATGCTGCTGATGTTTTCACATGGTTCATTCTTAACTCATAGGTCTGTCTGTTTGTGTTTTAATAGGACAAGGGCTCAGAGGACTGGACGTGCTCAGACATCGGTGTTCTTCTTCCCAGTTCTTGACCCCTGGTCCTGCCTCCAGCCCATCTCGGCTTATCCACTTTGACTCCTTTGAGCCGTTCGGAGGGGCGGTTTCTGGTAGTTGTGGCTTTTATGCTTTCAAAGAATTCCTTCAGTCCAGAGAATTACTCCTGGCAGCCCTGTGTGTGTCACCCACAGGTGACCTGCGGCAGTATGTACTTTCAGTGCACCTACTGCTTACCGTTGCTTTAATCACTAATCGCTTTCTGGTTTGAAAGATGCAGTGGTTCCTCCCTCTCCTGAATCCTTTCCTACATGACGCCCTGCTGGCCTGTGCAGCCACACCAGAGAGACTCTTTCCAGATTGTCTTGAGTCACTGGCATCTCACTATATGATAGGGAAGGCTACTACCTAGGGCACTTTAAGTCAGTGACAGCCCCTTATTTGCACTTCACCATTGACCATAACTGTTTCCCCGGAGCAGGAGCTTGTGGAAGTACCTTGGAAGACGTTGCAGCCTGCAGCAGGTGCTTCTGGCTGGGGAGTCCTTTGGGAGCACTTGTCAGCGTCTTTCCTCATGTCATATGATCACTAACATATTTAAGGTATGCGCTATTTGCCCAGCTTTTCGAAAATCCAATCATTTTTCTAAAAGGAAGTGATGTCATTGTGTAGATTTACTGTGGTTGCTTGTACCATTTATAGAGATATAGCACTGGCCACAACGTGTCATGTGCAGCACTTGGTGTTTGCAAGACTTACACAAAAAGATTTAAAGTGGCAGCTTTACTCCATTTGGTGAAAGATGTACAGAGGCCGCAGCCCTGAGCTGTGGGAAGTTTCCGGGAATGTCCCAGGGTGGAGCTCCACATGCCCAGTGCGCATATGCCCCCAAGCCACTTCACGCCTATGCGGTCAGTAACCACATCCGGATGCCTGGGGATTCAGCAGAGGGGAGCACTGCGTCTTTCAGTAAGAAAGTGTACAGTTCCTTTTCCTTCTACAGCATGTCAGCATCTCAAGTTCATTTTTCAGCCTACAATATAACAATTTGTAATAAAGCCTTCACGAGCTCACGACATGAAGCGCTGTTCTGTCCAAGTACTCTCAAATGTTTCTGATACTGCTGAGTAGGACCATCAGAAAAGCTAGCACTAAGTCATGATGGAGTTCTGTCCATATTTTCTGATCTCTACGTATCTGTTCTGCCGCTGTGTGCTGTGGCGTTGACTCGGTGTTCTGTCCCAGTGCGGTGCCTCCTCCTGACTCCCCCACTGCTCTCTGTGGTGAGAAGTTTGCCTTGTTCAGTAATTACTGTACCCTCGCATGACTGTTACAGCTTTCTGTGCAGAGATGACTGTCCAAGTGCCACACGCCTATGATTGAAATGAAAAATCTATTGTTACCTCTGAGTTGTATTCCACGAAAAATGCTGTCCAGCAGCTCATTTAGGAAAAATTCTATTTTTAGCTTTTCATTTCTCAGCTGTCCTTTTCTTGTTTGATTTTTGACAGCAGTGGAGAATGGGTTATATAAAGATTGCCTGCTGATACGAACAGAAATGCATTTGTAATTCATGATAATAAATGTACATGTTCTATCTTCACATTCATGTTAAGATTTCAGTGTTGATTTCCTCTGGATCAGTGTGTCTGAAGGGACAGTCAGGTTCGGTTTGTGCTTAACACAGAAATGCTCATGGGCCTCACTTTGCCGCTCTCGGCACTGCCCCAGCACTTTGGTTTACATAAGATGATTTAGAAACATATTTCTGTAGGGTCCTTTTTTCCTCTGCACCGGCAGAGAATAAATTCTGTCATGTTCCTTTATTCAAATCATGGTTCTTAAATATTCTGTCAAACCCTGATAAAGAAGTCCAAACATCCCAGGCTGGATTCTCTCATTCTCTCTAGAGGGTGTGCCCATGTGCCTCAGAGCTGCTACTGGGCAGGGCCACCCCGCAGCACCTGGCCCACGCCACCCTGCGCAGGGCACTGGTGCTCACACCACATGGGGCTGAAGAAGGATGGCTGACTCATCCTCAGCAATCAGAACCACATCTCAGTTCTTGCCCTGAAATACATCGTTTCCCTTCCACGCTCAAAGAGCTGCTGTGTAAAGGTCCACACAGCATGGACAGGAGACAGATCTGACTGTTATCTGATACATTGATAAGTCAGTTTTCATTTTTAAAAGAGCATTGACAGTTTTATTACTTTTGTTTCTTTGTACTTTTTAAATGGAATGTTAGTATTATTATGAGGCTAATTTACAGTCTTCTTCTAATTAGAAAAACACAGCTTTGGCTAATAATAGCTGGGGACTGTGAGCTCTTTCCTATCCCCCTTGCTGGTACTGTGGAGTCAGGTTGGCATGAAACCACTAACTGCATTCTAGAATTACTGTAGCCATAAGTTGTGTGCTTTTTGTTGATCATGCCAAACATATTTTAACAGGTCAGAGCATTGTCATAACCAAGAAATCTATGAAAAGCACTAGCTGTTATGTGTGATGGACTCATCATTTTGGCTCTTCTTACATTTGTAAAAATGTGCAGATTAGGTCATCTAAATTTATCTTGGTGATACCTCCATTATCAGTGTGCTCAAATAAGCTTTCAGACTAATGGCTTTTTTGATGTCTTAAAAATGTAAGCAAAAAATTCCTGTTAAACATTCCAGTTCAGTCATTCAGAATGAAACAAATACCTAACAAGCCAGTGGGATGGATTTGAGAGAACTAGCATGAGGACTCTGTTCTGACCCAAGTCTTCAAAGCTGACAGAGACATGCAGACCATCGTGGCATCTCAGTGGAAGAATTTCATTCTTCTGTATGTGCAGTACACAGGGCATGGTGTGTTCACACTCATTCACCCTCGTTCCTTCTGCTTTCGGGCACAGGCAATGGGTGTGGAGGTAAGTGGTAGCTTTGAGAAGCTACTTGTGGCTTGCCAGTGGTTGTCTCTAAGGAATCAGAAGGTATCCTGCCCACGCTGCACGCCACATCATGTTCAGACCATTCGGAGGAGACTGTTTATCTTTATTTGCTTATGTGTTAATATGGTTTTTAAATTGGTAACTTTTATATAGTATGGTAACAGTATGTTAATACACACATACATATGCACACATGCTTTGGGTCCTTCCATAATACTTTTATATTTGTAAATCAATGTTTTGGAGCAATCCCAAGTTTAAGGGAAATATTTTTGTAAATGTAGTGGTTTTGAAAATCCGAGCAATCGTTTGCTTATGCGTTTTTAAAGCATTTGTGCTTTAAAATTGTTATGCCGGTGTTTGAAACACGATACTCCTGTAGTGCAGATGAGAAGCCGTAACAGTAAATACGTGGTTTCTCTTCCTGTCATCCACCTCGACACGACGGACAGGAAACGCATGGGAATCCAGAGCGAATCCGCTAGGATTGCACCAGGTTTTCCTGATGCTTGTTGCCTTTTTTTGCGCTGTTTATCCGTGTAGAGCACTCAAGAAAGTTCTGAAACTGCTTTGTATCTGCTTTGTACTGTTGGTGCCTTCTTGGTATTGTACCCCAAAATTCTGCATAGATTATTTAGTATAATGGTAAGTTAAAAAAAAATGTTAAGGGAAGATTTTATTAAGAATCCGAATGTTTATTCATTATATTGTTACAATTTAACATTTATTTGTGGTATTTGTGATTTGGTTAATCTGTATAAAAATTGTAAGTAGAAAGGTTTATATTTCATCTTAATTCTTTTGATGTTGTAAACGTACTTTTTAAAAGATGGATTATTTGAATGTTTATGGCACCTGACTTGTAAGAAAAAAAACCTTAGAATCATTAAATTGTGTCCCTGTATTACCAAACTAGCATAGTACTGTGCATGTATAGTTTAATTGCAGTTTCACGTGTGAAAGTATGAAATCGTCTAGTCCTTTTTTACAGCGTTTTCCAAATAAGTATGTCTTCCTAACTTGGCTGTGCTTATAATGATTTGTGATGGAAACATAGGCTGTTCCTCCCGAGTTAAAGGGGGATTTTAGTGCTTCATTGGGTTTCCAGGTGGCTTTTCAGACCTCTGGGTGTAGGGGAAGAAGGCAGTGCCCATGTCTGTCTCTCCTCGTCCCCTTGAATTTCAGCAACCCTGCTGCTGGGGAGATGTAATGGGAGCCCCTCTTTTCAGACCAAGAAGTCGTGAATCTATTAGGGACTCTTGGACGTTTGGTTCTTGTCAATATTGAGCATCATGCAGTGACTTATTTACAAGACAGAGATATTGGAAAATGTTTTTGATGTGATGTTGTAGAAAGAGCACAGGCTTTGAATCCATAAAACTCGGTCTCTGCTCATGACTGCAGCTGGCTTTTGGCCGGTCACTCTGCGCCTCTCCGCTTCAGACTTCAGCTGTAAAGTGGAACCAATATTACTTGCCTCGCATGTGGTAAAGATTGCAAAAATATTTTAAGTGTTTAGCACTTCAAAGCAAGTACTCAGTAAATAGTAAGTCTTCCTAAATGCTTTCCTATTTCATTAAATTTTGTTGTAAGGTGTTACTAAAATGTCTGCTAACTGAAGTAACTGCTTTCTGTTAATCTGAGAGAGGCAAACCTCTCCTGTCAGAAACTTTGTGCAGCAGAATGAGCTGCTCCTACCTAAACGGGAAGTGTTCGATGGGGTATCTGAAACACCTATGGGACATTCCCTCGCTTTCTCCTGAGAGACGAGCACTTCAGTGTGGTCCAGCTCCTGCAGAGAGCGACTAAATAGCCATCCCCCTTGTTCAGCACCAGAGTCTGATCCCCATGCTCCCCACTTCATGTCGGGCTTCTCACTTGAGCAGTAGCACAGCCGCTGCGGGAGGCGCTTGGGCCAGCGTCTAGGCTGGCCAGCTTGCCCCATATGTTCAGAACCAGTGTGTTCGGAGCTGAGCAGTGGACACATGGGCCATGTGAGAGGAAGTAGGTGGAGGCAGAGTGCAGACCCCACCCCTGCAGCCCGGCTGTCCAGGGAGGCACAGAGGAAGGGGCAGCCAGGGAGGAGCTGTGAAGGGCCAAGTGTCACAGGGATGGGTTTTCGTGTCCCTGGGTCTAAGGGGAAGGAGGCAGCAGAGGGACAATGGGCCTGAGGGGTGGGGCAGTGGGGTCCAGATGGACATGGGGCTCTTCCTCTGAGCCTGGCACCAAGGACAGCCGATGACGAAGTCATTGTCTAGCTGGAGAGGAGGACATGGGGGGAGGTCGTGCCCAGGGACACATCTTTTTCAGGTCAAGGTGGGAGACAAGGGCTCTGCTGAGGGTGAAGAACTCTCATGAAAGCTGTAATAAGAGGACTGTCTGCCACCAGGAGGGCCTGTAGCACTGCACTAGGACATTATTTTTCCACCCTGCACATCATGTTAGCTGCACTGGCCAAGCAGAGGACCGAGGGGACGCGGAGGAGTGGTGAGAGCGTGGGGCTGGCTTGCAGGGCCACTGAGCGACGTGGGCGATGGTGGCCAGATTCCTGTCATGTCCACACTCAGTGGAGCAGCTCTCAGCATCACAAGCCTGGGCTGTGTCCACAGAAGCAGAAAGCCTTCAGGGCAGGGCTGTCTGGGGAGCTGTGAAGCCCTGGTGGGAAGTGACAGGGTGTAAGCTGGGGCAGGAGCAAGGAGAAAGGGAAGAGACCCTGTCCAGTTCCAGCTGCAGATGACCCAGTGGAAGACACCGATCCTGTGGGTTTCCTTTTGCTGGACTTCACACTGACTGATCTGCTCTCAGACCAGTCCAGCCAAACACAGTTCCTGCCGCATGCCCGGCAAAGCCAGAGGCTGGGACTACAAAGGGATAGTCCCCATCTTCAGGAAATCCCTTAGGTTGCAGGTCTCTGAGGGAAGGGAGAGCACCTTCCAGCCATGTGAATGCCAGGAAGACCAATGTCCAGTACTTTCATGATGGTATTTCTGGGGGGTCCGCAGTGTGTGCATTTAAAAGTTGAATGATTACAACGGGAATGTGAAAAGTAGTGACCCTCCATTAGAAAGCCAAGCTTTGTCTCCTCCCAAGAGGATCAGAAAGACCATCCTGGTCGTTGTCACTTCCCTCCACCGAGAGCCACCCAGTGCTGTGGGCGCACAGAAAATAGGCAGGAGCCCATTTGGAAGTGAAAGGCATCTTCAGTCACTGGTGCCCGGTAGACTCTTTCCTGTTTCCTTTTGCCCTGCATGTTCCATTTCCTAATTTCTTCTTTCCAAAGTTGAGAGTCTGGGAGAGTTCTTTGTATAGTAATGTCTTGCACCCGCAAGTTGGGCCTAGAGATGCTCTCCCTGTGGCTGACCAGAAGCATGACGCTGTCCCTGGTCTGGACTGTGAGCTGTGGTACACTGGGCTGTGTCCCAGGGATGGGAAGCCCGGCTGTTTGCGCACGATGGTGCGGAGCAGCCATGCTGAGGACACATGGGCTTGGGGAAAAAATGTGGGAATCCTAGCACTGGGTGCAGGAAGCACCTGAGTGGGTGTGAGCTGGGGAGGATCCCTCCAAATTTCTTGGCAAGAAGGAGCAGGGGAGCCAAAACCCCTTTGGTTTGGTAAGACCAGGCGCTTGGCAGCTGAGGGAATGGGCGGGATCTGGGACGCTGCTGAGTGTGTGAGGGAGTGCCCTGCGGGGAGGTGCCAAGGAAGACTTGCACAGCTATCCACGCACTGCCCGCCGGGCCTGAGGCCAGCCTGGAGAGTCAGGCAGGGACCCAGTGGCCATGTCACTGTTGCCTTCAGTTTGTGCCTGCTTTTTTCTTTAATCCTAGAGGGGCTCTTACTTCCTTTCCAAAGCTGCCACTACTTCCTTTAAAATACTGAAGTGTTCCCACGGGCATGGGGAACCTGCTAGACTTTATGGACTAGAAAACGTGGGTTTTCTGAGATGAAACCAACTACTCCCAGGAGGAGGGGACACTGATGAGACCACAGGGCAGGACCCACAGGAGGCCAAGCACCAAGAGCCAATGCTGATTGCTTTTCTAGGATTGTTTTGTTTTTTAAATTACTTTTGAAAGTCTTTTTCTTGCACTTACACATCCCGTAAAGCAGTGATTTTCAAATACTTTTATCACTGGTGCCCTTTCATGGTGTAAAGTTAGCAGGAGTTTGCCTTCTCTGAATAAGGGCGCAGGGGGCCGTCTGCCACTGAACAGCACAGTGTGTCGGCCATTAGAGGAAACACCGGATGGTGGGAACTGGAGAAGAGTAGATATCACAGAAGACTGAGTAATTGAATAAACAAACAAGGCCACAGATGACTGTTATGTTAACACCTCCACATTGGACCAGAGTGGGGACAGGGAGAGGTCAGTGGATTGGGTAAGGTCATTCTGCCGTTTAAAAGTGTAGAAAGAAGCTGGGCACAGTGGCTCACACCTATAATCCCAGCACTCTGGGAGGTCGAGGCAGGAGGATCACTTAAGGCCAGGAGTTCGAGACTAGCCTAAGCAACATAGTAAGACCCTGTCTCTACAAAAAAAAATTGTTCTTAATTAGCTGGGCATGGTAGCACATTACATACAGTCCCAGCTACTCAGGAGGGTAAGGCAGGAAGATCACTTGAGCCCAGGAGTTTTTGAGGTTGCAGTGAGCTGTGATTGCACCACTGCTCTCAAACCTGAGTGACAGCAAGACCCTGTCTCTTTTAAAAAAAAAAAAAAGGATAGGAAGAATTATTAAGACCACTGAAGAAGTCTTACAGATAATGGAAAGGCAGGCAATAGATGATAAGAAAGATACATTTGAGAATCTAAAAAGATGCTTAATTAAAGATTACTCAGTCAAAAGAAAAAAAATGAATTTGTAAGGCAGTGAGTATTGCAGTAGATGAAACAAACATGCTTCCCTCATGGCACTGATAATGTGCAGGGAAGTCAGGCCTCAGTGAATGTAACTAATATAAAAAAGTTAAAACTATAAATGTGATAAGTGCTTGAAAGAGAGCAAATGCAGGAATGAGAGAGAGAGAGAGACACTGACTCCCGCGGTATTGGAAAGGGCACTGTCACTGCTAGCTTGAAAACAAAAATCCATAAATTGCAACGGCAGCTGCCTCATTTTTGAATGTGTCTCAGCTAAGAAGGAAATGCTGGGCAAAGCGGATTTCAAAGGGGAGAAAGTCATACTGTCAGGGAAGGACACCGCAGCAGGGAGGCGCCAGGGGATTAACACCGGGACTTGGTGGCGTGCTCAGCCGCTGGAAGCGGGGACTGGGAGCACAGCATTTGAAGGGTGTGTGCCGAGGGGGGCGCTCAGGGCAGGGAGGAGTTCCAGAGCGAAGTGAGTTCGCTGAGAAGGTGTGAGCTGCTGTGTGCGCCGTGCAGACGGCACAAAGAACATTTTAATGAAATCAGAAGGGGGAAAAGCAAATGATGTCATGACAGGAGAGAAGACAGTGCCTCAGCCCGTCTTGCTCTGTCTCTGGCAGGTGGTGAGGGCTGTGGGGTGAGCAAGCTGCCAGCGCTAGCCTCAGCCCTGGGGCCCCAGCCGGACCCCCGGAGGACACTGAGGGCGAGCCACAGTCAACTGGATCCTCTCTGGAGGGAGCAGGTCCCAGAATAGACTGTGAAGTGGGGAGGATTATGCAAGAACAAGTCAGACTGAAGGCATTTCTCTTTTCACATAGGGTTGTACACTGGCCAAGTAGACCTGCACACACTGTATTCGATTGGTGGACGGTAGTGGCTTAATAGTGGCTCACGGTCCCTCCCCAACAGTGGCGTGTGCCTGCACTGACCTGGGTGGGAGGAGTGCCCAGAAACATTGAAGCTGCATCCAGCTGGCACAGACACCCCCTCAGGCAGCCATCTGTTGCTCACATATCTGACACATGGGGCTGACTCAGGGTTGCA